CTTCGGAGCTTAGGATCTCTGGTTTTAACCAGGTTTCTGTAAACCATATTTTCACACATCCAGCAAGTCATTTTAGACTAATCAGTCTAGTTACCAGACTGCATTTTTTTCAGGAAATAGTACCAAGAGAGTACCACATCGAGCAGTTATAAGTACCGCAGGAGTGCAGAAGTCTCTTAGTAAGGAGACAGAAAAAACATAAGCGTAGTGGTGTTAGTGCAACTATTAAAATTTCATTACGTTGTAAACGGACAACGCGCATAAGAAAGACAGCAGACTTAGAACCGATATACAAAATTAAAATAATTTTATTAGTCTGACTTTTAAAATATAAACAGTTCAATCCAAAAGCGAACGGGAACGGAAATGTATATTTAAATAGGTGACCGATAGTGAAAAAGTTTGGATAAAGCCCACCGATGAAAAAACGTGAATTCCTTGTATGCAATAAATTAAATTACAATGGCGACTCGGCATACAATTAGGTATGCAATGGTCAATTACCGATCACGCTGATTCTGGTACTAAATTTTCTTCCTAGCACTTTTAAAGTTGTAATCAGTTTCCTTTTCAACAAATTCAACTGGCTTCCCGAATCTAAAAAGCCCCTACAGTTTTGGTATATATATTTGTATATATTTATGTTTTTTCTAATTGCTAAGTAAGCTAAAAGGAATTTTGGTTGATTTCGCTGTTATATAAGTGAAGCAAATAATATGTCTTAATTTATTTTTCTGTAAATTCATTAGTAAAGGAACATTTTTCTTATAAAGTTGAAATCAACTGGTGTTCATGACTTCTGAGGAACACTGTATGTAAAGAATTCTACAGATGTAGATCAAGGTTTGTAGGTCCGAACCGTTTGGGTTTCTCGAAATATCACGATGAAGAATAATGAGGATTGTTGAAAGCTTTTGCAAGCTGTATGCTGAAACATATTATCACAGCGAAAGTTTCTTGACCTTAAAAAAACTTTTTGGAAACGATTTTAACTTTGGGCTATTTGGATTTGGTATGAATTTCATACCTTTAGATATTGAAAACTTTAAAAGCATTGGCCGAGAAGGAAGTTCAGTACAATCCCATTCGCTATCCTATTCTCTATACAGTCACATTGTCAAGCTTGTTGCGAACCAAATTAGACATACCAGCTAATAAAATTTGTTGCTCTTCAGCTAGGAAGAAAACTAGTTGAGAATTTTCACTGTCTACTAAAATTCTGAAGGCATCTTAGATGGCTTGACACGTTTTAAATTAAATAGCTCGAGAAAATAGGACTGAACCATAATTGCTTTATTTTCGTAACGAGCTATCCCCAGGCGTAGAGCACGAAGATAATTAGCCCCTGTTATCTCCAGGCAATCAATGTAAGTTACGCAGACTGAATCATCAGCATTGTAAATGTCAATTCGTTGAATTTTTATTTCTGAAAATTAAATTGCCTATGTATTATTCTAGACTTCATTCGAGAATATTATAATGCTAAAATTTTTAAGATTGCTCAATGTAAGCTTAAATTTCACAACAAAGTTATTTTATGGTGTATCGGTCACTCTCTTAACTCTTGTTAACGATCTAGGCGTTCTCTTGGACCCTAAACTAAAATTTTCAAACCACATTTCGTCCATGGTTAAGAAAGCCAGAGGAGTGCTTGGATTTATTAAAAGGTGGTCAAACGAATTCGATGATATTTATTTAACTAGAACTTTATTTATTTCGCTAGTCCGTCCGATTCTGGAGTATGGGTCTCCCGTCTAGAGTCCACAATACGGAATACATATTGGTCGTATTAAATCAGTACAAAAAACTTTCTTCTTTTTGCTTTACGGTGCCTAAACTGGGATGCAAATCTTAACTTACCTTCTTATTCTAGTAGTCTTCTGTTGATTAATTTACCCTCCCTAGCCAACCGTAGAACGAAGCTTCCTACTGTCTTCATTTATAACCTTATACATTGTGATATTGACTCCCCCGACTTGGTAAGTCGGCTAAACTTTTCTGAGCCAAGTAGATTAACTATAAATTATATTCCCCTAATATTAAATCATTGTAGATCTAACTATGCCTTTCAGAGTATTATGCTCTGACTATAATAGACTTTTTCCTATAATCTCAAGTCTTGACTCTCTGCCGCTCCTAAAACGATTAGTACTAGCTTCATTGACACAAAATTGATCTTACTATTACTTTTTTCCCCGGAATTTTACCTATATTTCCTTATTTCGCGTCTATCTTCTTGTGAATCGTGCCGGTAAAAGGGCCGTGGGACTCCGCGCGAAAAAAAAAATTAATCCAATAAAAATCAATAAGTTAAATTGCTTGCTGAAGTTTTCTTTGTTGCACCTGACTTGCTATTAACAAACTCCATTTACGCGTTGATGTATGTGTGGAGTTCCAGTCCAACTTTACTTTGGTACGTGTGTGCAATTAAAGCTTATTGTGAAAATTTGTAAGTAATCGCTGTAAGTAAGTTAGTAACCAATAAGCCAAAATACATTATTATGTTATGCAATACCTGACTCAGCGTTGCCCTCGAATACATATTTACTTTCTCAGTTGCAATTATTAAAAGTAATGTTATTTTATTCTTTTTTTCAATTAAATTTTCTAGTGACTTAACAAAACCTAGAATCCCATGTGGATTTTTTCTACTACCTGCAATTACTTAAGTTAGTATTTCACGAGATCTCACTGAAAATTGATGTACAAAATATAAACACTTGTTTAATGTATGTAAATATATAAATGGTAAAAGGCTTTGAAATAAAGGGGTACGGTCAGAAAAAATTCGAACCAATTTGATAATATTTTAAGTGAAACTTAAACTAAACAACAAGGATGCCCTAAAAATATTTCGTTTAACTTTTCGTTATCTACGGACAAAAAGGAGATCATTATGAATCCATATTAACAACGATCAGGTTTGAGACACTCTTTAAAAAAGAGTACGTGTTTTTCTTATTATATAACTTAATTTGTTATTATTAAATTTATTTCAGAAGATTGCATTGAAATCAAACCCTTTATTAAAAACAGTGTAAAATATAATACGTAAGTCTGAATTTTAAATCTGAAAACATTCATTTAAAATGCCGCTAGCTTCAAGACGATTCTCGTTGGAGACTTTCCAAAAGCTTTGGGATTGCGGACAGCTTCAATATACCTTTGCAGTTACGGTAAGATAAGCAAATTTTTTAGTGGTATTCACAGGGTGCAGTATCTATAGATAAGCTTATAAGCACACAGGACCCTAAAAGGACATAAATTTAACTTTTCCTTGGACATCGCAGGAAGCTAAATATGTCTGCTTGAAAAATTTTAAATTATTGTATTGCTGTGTTACAGGCCGAATTAAGAATACATTTGGCCCTCGCTTAGCACGGACTCTTTTAGCACGAACTAGGTCTTACACGGATGCAAATTTGCTCCCATCCCCCTTTTAACACGCTAAAAACCTCGTACTTACACGATTTTTCCTTATAAGTAGTGCTATAAAGAAGCTTTAAAAGTCACCAAACAATCGAAAATTACTGATTTTTTTGATAAGGAACAAACTGGCTTAAACTATATATGCCTGTTAATTAATTATATGAAGCTTTTTTCATTTAATACCAATTTTTAATTTTGAAAATATGAATGCATAATTTATTAAATGCATATACTTAATAACTTTTGGTTAATTTGGAACACATGTATGAAATTTTAATAAAAACAGGCCAAATTTGAACAATACAAAATTTGTTTTGCTGCCGATTTAAAATTTTGAGAACTTAACCTCTTATTTTGTACTGAATCCATGTTTCACTTAACACGATTTCGATTAACATGAGGATTTCTAGGGACGTAACCCCCGTGTTAAGCGAGGGCCAAGTGTATTTAAAAAATATATTTAACTGTTTGGATCTCCTGAAAGCTGGATGCAACAACGAGTAAAATAGCTTTATGAGACTGACCTAACCCTTTGGAGATTCAAGAAATTTGGACTTGTCCATTGAGTAGGAAAGAATAATTCTGTTCAGTTGTGCTCTAAAGACAGAAACTTAAAAAGGAGACAAAATAAATGCAAAAACCACAAGTGAAGCATTCAATTTTAAATAATTTTATTAATTACATTACACACGCAAATCGACTGGAATTTCGTTAAAAACACACTATGATAAAAAAATTAGAAACGCCAAACAAAAACACAGCCATTCACTGTGAAAGCGAATAGAGATTTTTGTTTACTTACTTGTTGTCAAGGTTTAGAAAAATAAAATTTGTATTCTAATCATGGTGTTTTTTTAAGTTTAAATTATGTTTTCCGACTGTTTTCATGTCTAATTTATTATACCCGTTACTTGTAGAGCATTGTATTCGTTTAAAAGTAGACCGACCCTATAAAGTATGTTGTATATGCATTCAGGCATGAACGTCAAGGTTTCTATTGGTCGGGGCACTCGGCATTAGAGTTCCTTCTTATTTAGAATCTTTTTTTTCTAACTAACCAACTATGGTCATTGATATTATCTTTTCAGAAATAAAATTTTTCTGCTTAACCTTAAAAACTAAGGATGTTCTTCTCTTTTAACAATGTATCCATTGTTTATAATTCGTTTAAAGAGGGTAACGTTGGCAACAGAATTTCTAAAAACCAGTTTTGGAAGAAGCAAAAAATGTTAAAAGCCGGTGAGGGCGATTAAATGTAATGGAACCTTATTGAAAATGCATATAATATTAATATCAAAACAGTTAAATTAACTTTTAATGAATGAATAAATTTGTTCAACATTCATTTCTAAATATATACAAGAAATATAAATATAATATAATAATACATTAGTATATTAAAAGTTACCAATTTATATTCATCTATGTGCATTAAAAATTATTTAAATTGTGATTTCAGTTACAAAGCAAAAATGTATTTTATTATCTCAGTAATTTTCAAGATATGCCGCAACATACGGACTTAAAATATCAACGAATGACTAAACTTCCTCGTTTAACTTTAGTATTCACTTGGACTTGGTCAATGCATGGTCAGCTTAAAAGCTATTAACGGTTTTGCTTTTGTTGATCTAAAGGCGATCCAAAATTTAGCTAAGGTAAAAAATAAATTATAAAATAAACACATAAATAAGAACGTATAAATAAAAGTGTGTTAAGTTATAAGTCATGTTAAAATTATTTATATATAGACCAGCGATTTTTGACGCATCTTTGCCAATGATATTTCACTTTCATTCATATTTTATTACTATTGTGCAGCTAAACTTTTTTTGGGTACAAAATAATGTATCTGAATAATATTTTAATCATCGTAATGTATTTAAATACCAGTCGGCACTCTCCGTTCAATATGAGGATTTTTGACAAGCAAAAATTGAAAAATTAAATATATTGTAATTTCTAAAAGTTATTATGTTTTATTCTATTTCTAATTAAAAAATTATGAATTAATTTGATTCATATAAAAGTAAGTACAGATCACTGCTATTATAGATCACACTGTGACTTGTGACTCTATTCCCCTGGAGTAAGTGGGAACACAAGTACGCTGCATACATCACTGTGGACGGCGTTACACGTAAGTAACAGAGGGTATTAAAATTTCATGTAAAAAGATTGCAACGCAGTGAAGGAGACATTTCCGACCCTATAAAGTATATATATTCTTGATCAGCATCACCAGGAGAGTCGATCTAGCCATGTCCGTTTGACTGTCCGTCCGTCCGTCGGTTTGAAACTTTCGCAAAACTTTTCTTTCTATTGCGACTATATCATAAAGAAAAAAAATTTTTAAAAATTATAACTTTGTTGTTCTTAATTTTTTTTTGCTCTTTGGAATTTGGTAATATTAAAATATCAATTCAAATCGGACAACAAAATCATATAGCTTCATTGTTTTATCCACATATTGTGGATAAGTAAAAAGTTTATCTTTTAGTCCGGTAAAAAATCAGAAGTTAATTGAGAATGGAAAATAAAAAAAGGTGAATGTGGTACGCTCTTACTGTTACCGGCTATCGCACTGGATATTCGAGAAACATTGTTTTCTGACAACACACACCCCAAAAGATAAGCCTTGAACTCAGATCGACGAACACTGCTCGATTTTTTTACTGTTTGTCAACAAAGCCAACAGATTGGCGGGAAGACCGTTGCGCAATCAGTACATATTTTTATTATTAATTATTATATTTTCAACTTTCTTTTAAGAAATTGTCATTGTACTTGTTTGCGATTTATTTTAAGCTTTTTATTTTGTGTTCGTTTTACTACAATAAGTAAAATAATAAATCCGTTAAAGAAAATTATAATTTAATGTCAAAATTGTACAAAAAGAAACTAGGAATATATTTATCGACCTAAGCAACACCTATTGTGAACAAGAAAGAAAAGCTAACTTCGGGCGGAGCCGAAGTTGATTTACCCTTGCAGAATATTCTGTAAATTATATTCTCCAAAACTATTCACATGATGCATTCTTAATACTCATAAAAAATCCTAACTTCCTAACTTTAAAAACACCAAAGTTATGGCATTTCCAATCGTTTAGTTATATGGCAGCTATAGGATATAGTCGTCCGATCCTTATGAAATTTGGTAGGTCGGATTGATTGGCCAAATATAAGACCCATAGAAAATCCCAACTTCCTAACTTTACAACCACCAAAGTTATGGCATTTCCGATCAATCAGTTATATTTTCGATCAATCAGTTCCGACATATATACTGCGTGCAAAGAAAAGAAAGATGTGTGCAAAGTTTCAATTCGATAGCTTTAAAACTGAGAGACTAGTTTGCGTAGAAACAGACAGACGGACAGACGGACATGGCTATATCAACTCAGGAGGTGATCCTGATCTAGAATATATATACTTTATAGGGTCGGAGATGTCTCCTTCACTGCGTTGCACACTTTTGACCAAAATTATAATACCCTCTGCAAGGGTATAAAAATACACACCATTATCCATTAGACAGCAAATTGCAATTTTATATACATAGTAAACAATTTATATTTGTAGCAATAAGTGCTTGTTGCTTATGTTGCTTGTTTGCATATGGTGTTGTTAAGACAATAGCGGCATTCAGATGTTTTATTTCGCACCAAAGGATAAATTTTCTTAGTCAAATTCCCAACAATTTATTAAGATTTGCTAAATTCGGTGATTGGATTTACTGTCCCATATTCCTGTGTGTTCAGTTCCAATTATACCATTTTTGATTAAATACACGTATTTTAAATGAAATATATAAAAAAAATAATAATTACAATTTCATACCAAAAGTCAATATATTTCTGATGCGCCTGCTAAATTAGAAATTTAAATATAAAGAAGAATAATAAAGGAACATACTGAGGAATTATTAAACAATTTTTACAAATATAAATTTACCTGGAAAAGCACATACTAAACAGACCAATTAGTATAAACCAAATAAACGATTATCGGTTATCAAGTTTAGAGTATAAAACCCCAGCGGTAGAGGCGACTTTGCGCCCTCATAAAAATACATATTCTCGCATCTCTAGACGAGTGCCCATCTGTGTTTTTGCCGTTTGCGAGCTCGGTTTAAAAGCTTAACATTTCATTATCTGTTTTTGTCTTAAATAATTTTTGTATCCTACCTTGAGTCTTAAGAAAACCGGATAGCGGTCATATATCTACAATACTGGCGTTAGGTTACCCTGTTCATTCGCGTAGTGTAAAGCTATTAATATACAACTTTTAAGATCCTATTTTTATGTGCATATCTTAAAAAATCTTCTCGATCGGATTACAATCGAAATATAGTCGTTTTATGCAAAATTAAATTTTTCCCCAGCTGCTAGGTATTTAAACTTCGGCTGGCGGAACTTGTCTTTCAATTCTTGAAGTTGGTTTTAGCTAAAAACCATATTCCTAGTGAGGATGTAGCAATTCCTCAAAATGTATTTGGTGCAGACCCTTAAAATATTATGTGACTGGGAAAAACCATAACAAAAGGCACGAATGAAAAGTAATGTTTGAGGCAATGAAAATTTATATTCACTAATTAAAAAAAAATTATACCAAAATCGCGTGTTGATTTGAGTATAATTTTTTTTTATAAAGTCTTCTTCCATTTTTGAACAAAATGGTTATCTTTTATCTATATTTAAATTTTTCTGTCTTTATAAACGGAAGAACTTTGAATGCGCACTGTTATGCAGAATAACAAAAAACGCTGCCGAAATCAATTCTATCACGACTACAAACAGTTTTTAAAATATCAGTCATTTTAAAGGTAACTTAGCCCGCTTTTATACAAAAAACAAGGACGGAAGCTAACTTCGGCAAGCCGAAGTTTTAATACCCTTACAGACTTTGCCGAAATTGCTAAAAGTGAAAAAGTAGCGAAAGGAATAAGGTATACATAAGTAAACTAGATTTGCATCGTTTCAAGTCAATTGCTTTTATACTCCAAAATTGTCATATACAAATAGGAAAAAAAGGCTAAACGATATAGACGTCCAATCGGCAAGCGCTTTTACCCTGATCAAGGTATGCGTAAATAAATAAGACTTGGAAAAATGTATGTCAATAGCTTATACACTGCGCGAAAAATTCTAAAAAACATGAAATTTTGACCGATTTCACCGTAATGTTCCTATGGGAGCTATAGGATATAGACGTCCGATCGCCACGCGCTTTTACCCTGATCAAGGTATGCATAAAAAAATACGATTTGGAAAGATTCATGTCAATAGCTTTTACACTGCGCGAAATATCATCAATTCTTGCAAGATATATCCAATTGTTCCTATGGGAGCTATAGGATATAGACGTCCGATCGATTTTCAAACTTGATCTGCGTACACATGTTTTAGGACGAGTGTGAAAGTTTCAGATCGCTAGCTTTTAAACTGAGCTCGCAAACGGTATTGAAACAGACGGACAGACGGACATGGCTATATCGACTCCCCTATTGATCCTGATCAAGAATATATATACTTTATAGGGTCGGAAACGTCTCCTTCACCGCGTTACAAACTTCTGTCCAAAATTATAATACCCTCTGCAAGGGTATAAAAAAGATTAGCTATACCACTAAATGCACCATTTCATGCTACAAGCCATATATTATTATTCTTTCTAAACATACTCTTAGCATAATTTAGAGATTATCTTTTTTCTCTTTTCTTAATCCCAGTGCTCAGATAGAAAAACAAGTTCTAAAAATTACTCTGCTCTGACCAAAAACACTGTAAAAAATTACATTTTTTAATCTTTTCGCTAAGGTTTAAGTGCAAATTCGTCATATTTTTCATATTATTTTATTGGTCGCCATTTGACTAGATCGACGTTGAGCAATTTTGTTCAATAATTTACATCAAATAATCGATCAACAGCACAATCTTCTTCGTGAGCATAATAAATGGGTCAGATTGTTTTACATTGTGACTTGCTGTGGGAATACATGACAATTCAATGCTTTTACTATTAATGATTTTTTTCCCGTAAATTATGGCGATATTACGGTAATCTGTATTCTTCCTGTTTATGCGTTTTTTTTTATCGAAATATCGAATAACATGGTTCATGCTACCGCCATTTACTAATTTTAATGAATCACATTGAAATATAAAATGGTTTCTTTCCTTAATTTTGTCTTTAATTAGCGCCTAAAAAATAAATAAACACAGAAGGATTTCGAGATGCCTGCTATATATATTTATATTAGTTAAATTGCAACATAAGAGCCATCCGAAAGCCTCCGGACTTGTATCTGCCACGAATCGTTGGGGTTATAAGCCAGACATGATTTTAGCTTTTCGAAAGCTTTTTGTTTCTCAACGCCCCATGCAAGTTTAACGCAGCCGTCTTAAGTTTTGCTGCCAGTCAAAGACTGTTTTCTTTATTCAATGACGAAAATACAGACGCTTCGCTCTAGTGAAATTGGCGCTTCGAATGCACAAATTACATTGAGAATTTGAAGTGTAACCTTTTTACAGATGCTGTGCGTTGGGCCAAACACTAAAAACTGTAGCTTTGTTTCCTTACAAAATGGTCCAGTCTGCTTGACAGATGAGGCTATGTCGAGAACTAGAATCAATAAACAGATCTGTCCCACCGAT